GGCTGACACATGAAACAATGCTCAACAACACTCATCATGAGGGAAATACAAATCAAAACCACAATGAGACACCACCTCACACCATCAGAATGGCTAACATTAACTCAGGCAACAACAGATGTTGGCGAGGATGCAGAGAAAGGATCTCATTTGCAGTGCTGGTGGGAATGCAAACTGGTGCAGCCACTCTGCAAAACAGTATGGAGGTTCTTCAAAAAAAATTAAAAATAGAACTACCCTACAACCCAGCAACCGCACTACTAGGTATTTATCTAAGGGATACAGGTGTGCTATTTCAAAGGGACACATGCATCCCAATGTTTATAGCAGTGCTACCGACAATAGTCAAAGTATGGAGAGAGCCCAAGTGTCCATCGATGGATGCATGGATAAAGAATATGTGGTATATATATGTAATGGAGTATTCATCGGCAATCAAAAAGAATAAAATCTTGCCATTTGCAACTACGTTGAGGGTATTACACTAAGCAAAATCAGTCAGTCAGAAAAAGACAAGTATCATAGGACTTCACTCATATGAGGACTTTAAGATACAAAACAGATGAACATAAGGGAAGGGGAGCAAAAATAATATAAAAACAGGGAGGAGGACAAAAACACAGGAGACAAATATGGAGAACAGAGGGTTACTGAAGGGGTTGGGGGGGGATGGGCTAAATGGGTAAGGAGGTATTAAGAAATCTATTCCTGAAATCATTGTTGTACTGTATGCTAACTTGGATGTAAATTTAAAAAATAAGAGAACTGAGTCATCCCTACTAACAAATAAGCATGTCTCCTCAAGAGAAACTTTAAAGGATTTTAAAACCATTAGTTTTACAACTTCAAAATAAAGTAAAACTTCTAGATTAGAATAGTGATAGGATTTGCGATTTTTCTTACTTGGACTCATATAAGTAATATGTACACAGAACATTAATGAGCTTAGATATAAGCCTATTAGCTAGACTTAAATACAGTTTATCTTTAAATATTTTCTCTTCAACTTTGGGCATAAACTGTAGGCTAAGGAAAACCTACTAGGTTAATTTTTTTAATATTTATTTTTGAGAGAGACAGAGCATGAACAGGGAAGGGGCAAAGAGATGGGGAGACACTGAAACTGAAGCAGGCTCCAGGCTCTGAGGTGTCAGCACAGAGCCCAACGCAGGACTCAAACTCATGAACCATGAGATCATAACATGAGCTGAAGTCGGAGGCTTAACCTACTGAGCCACCCAGGCACCCCAAACCTACTAGCTTTAATGAATAAATAAGGCTGTTTGGGAATCATATATATGCAAAAAAGGAATTCTGAAGGGCTTGAAAGCTATTTACCTAAGTAAAATATCTCTAGATTCAACCTTGTTTATTAGTCTAGATTTGTTGAGCAAACCCTTTCTTCCTTGATTGTGTCTACATAATCCATCAGGGCAATCACCAATTGCAAAATACCTTGTGGTATATGAAAATGTTCTACTCTATCTACAGTGTGAAGATTAGCCCCCAAATGTGTCATCCCCAAATTGCAAAAGTCTTTTTCATCTTGAGCAAAATGAACAAGAAAAAAATCAGTCATTAATATCCTGGAAAACTGCCCACAGAGAAGAGTTTTAACTGCTGATTTCAAATAATACTGTGGCCATTTCAGTAATCTTGAAGAAATCTGATTTAGAAAAATATTATCTTTAGACGAAGTCATTGCCAGTCGAACTCAGTTACTGGTTATAAAAGACTTCCCGAAGTTTGGGGAAGCCTGGTTAAAGCAGGCTTTTCCGAACCAAATTTCAGGCTGGTGAAGTCACACACCTCATGACCTACTCCTTTACCTGCCGCACAGGATCACTCATCCTCAGCCACTCCTCACCTCTAGAAAGGCCACAGCCACCGCTGTCCAGGTCCCTGCCAGGCCAGTGGGGGAGGTCACCTCGTGGGAGGTTCACCTGTCACCAGAGAAAGTTGGGGCTCATTTTTAAGTGCCCCCAAACACACACGACATACACCAACCCCATCCTTCTGGCTCACGTACAGTCAGTCCAGTGGCTTCTTTGGAGGTCCTCAGAAATGGAGAGCACCCTCAGCAAGGCTTTTAAAAATTCTCAGGGTGTATTTAAGCTTCCATAGCACAGAAGGAGAACACAAGTTTGGGAAGTCAGTAGGCTTTTCCCCTCCCTTCAAATAGTTTCATCTCTCAATAGTATTGGAAATTTGAGACAACTTTTAACTACATATACATCTGTCTAGATATCAAGACTCATCAACAACTCAGTATGAAACTATAATAATGATGATACAGCAAAATACTACTACTACAAATCAATAAAAATAAATGCATGCGGAGCCTCGTTTACATAACCACAGTACAACAGGTCTCAAACATTTTTATTCCCTGAGATTTAAAACTTCCTGTTCTGATTTTGAGGAATGTTGTTCCTAATGGTATACACAATGCACAACTATTTTTTATCAACGAACACAGTCTGGTTTGTAATGGCCTCTACTCCAGGGCATGGAGGTGGTCCTAATGGATTCTTAATCAGAATTAACGGTGCATTGGGCAGGAAGGGTGGGGAGGAGTTCTTTTAAAAGTCATCTGTCACGGTCATGTAGTTCTGAAGTGTTCGTTTTATTTTTGAGAAAGTCAAGAGACTTGGCTACATTAAAGTCTAAAACATCTCTAAGTCAACCACTATAAACATATACTATTGGTTTTTATAAGGCCTTTTACAAGGCCATAATGGGGGGCAGGGGGAGAGATCTACAATATGAAAGACAAAAGTTTATTATCAATCCCTGAAAGTTCTTAGGAATAGAAAAATACTAATATCCAGTAGAAAAAATGTGGCTCTACATTCAATTAAAAAGAATAAAAAAATAACTAAAATGTTTTAGTATACATGATTTCTAATAAAAGAAATGAAAATTTAGATATCAAGAAAGCACTGTTCGCTTACACAGCTAGAAGAATTATTTTTCCTTTGAAGAATGATTCCCCATATTGACAAGAATATGGTAACACAAGGACTCTCCGAGTGCTGGTGGGAAGCTACTTGGGTAAAACAGTTTTTGGAAAGCACATGGTCCATCTGTATCAAGAGATCTTTGAACCATCAACTGTGTTTCAAGGACTCCATCCTAAGGAAATATGCCCTGTAGTAAAGTTTTATAAAGTATATTTGTTGCAACAGTATATATTTAACAGTAATTGGAAATAAAAGTTCAGCTTATAACAACTGTATTACCTCTTATAATATTATGTAGCCACTAAAACAAGACTCTTGAAGAACTCTAATGATGTGAACTTTTTCCTAAGTTATGCAGAAAAAAAAACAGCATGCAATCTGTATTTGTATAGACTATGTAACTTTAAAAAAATAAACCTATTTATGTTATCTATTAACAAGCATGAAGAAACCATTGAGATTATATTCGGGTGGTGAAATTATTTAACACGTATACTTTTTCTGAATCTACCCTTTTTTTTTTTTTTAACAGCAAGCATGCATTACTTTTGAATTTGGAACAAGGCCAACAGAAGAGGGCGTTAGGAGGCATGCTTTCGAAGTGCTTAAGTCTAATAAGTGAAAACCCAAGAAAGAACTCCAACTGTAATGTTATAGCCCTATGAAGTAATCCCAAATTGCAACCATTTACTACGGATACAGAATGGAAAGGCACAGCTCTTCTACAAGCACTATTTTCTCCACATGACAGTTTTAAAAAGAAGTGGAGAAGTTGGCATGAGTTTAATAATAGATATTAAACTCAATTTCACTATGTTCTTATTTCTAAGGATAAGTAGTTCTAATCATTTCTTTGTATAATTTTCCTTATGGAATATTGTAGTTAAGGAAAAAAATCAATAAATGCATTTTAAACATTACAAAGCACTATACAAATAGGGCATCATTGTTTCCATTTAAATTGTCCATTTCCTGCCCTAATTATCCCTGAAAAAGCAGCTGGTCTACCGTATTGCATTTCCAAACTGTTCAGTTCTTCAAGTTAACCACACATGGTTATCTGGGTGTATCTAGACTCCTTAAGGAGGTCATAGGTTCCCGGGAAGAAGCGACTCATTTCCTTTTTATTCCCCTCCCTCCTAGACGGCCTCTCTCCTTCCCTCCACTCCTAACACCTGCACCCCACCCTCCGCCCCCAGGGCTAAGGATTTAGTGTGACGATGACTGAAATCCCTTCACCTGGCAAAACACGAACGCTGTTACACCCCCTCCCCCGTTCTGCCTAAGACTTTGATTCTATTCCAACAAAACGCACTGGGTTTCCTTTCTTAGCACACACACTGCTCAACACTCAGTAGTCATTAACAGAATAGGTGAACATGTATGTGAAAAGTAACCTTTCCTATTCTTACTGCAAAATAAATTATTCCCAAAGGCAACAAATAACTTAGCAGCAAAGAGTACGTCTTGAAAAAAAGGAGAAAAAAGATTTAAGGTAAGAAAACACAGAAGTCCAATAATTTCGTGTACAGGGGCAATCAGGTGACCTTCCTCAGGAATGGATTTTTCTAGAGAGCTAGGAAGGCACAAGTGAGCCGCAGAAAGTAGGCAGGCTCGGACGAGGGGGCCTTGGGAGTCGCAGCAAACCCGGGCAACGCCGCATTTGCAGCCCCGGTGGCACCAGCTGAGAACCGGCCCAAGCGAGCGGCGCCGCGTGAGCGCAGGGGTGCGGGCCCCGCGGGTCCGGGGTCCGGGCAGATGCCGGCCGGGCTGGGGCTCCTGTAAGCCCCGCAGGTCACTGTGAAGGTGACAGCTACGGAGAGCCGCCCCTGTCCCCGCCGCCCCCACGTGCGACCGGTGCCCGCGGAGCCTCCGCTCCACCGCGGTGCCTCCGCACCCACTTCGCCCCCCACTTCGCCCCCCGCCCTCAAAGCCGCCACTCTCGGACGGTCGCGTCCCGGGGGCGCCCTCGCCACCCCGGCCCGTTTCCACCTCGGACAGGCTGGGCTGCGGGAATCGCCCCAACTCCGCGCTTACCCGCAGCGCCTCCTCCTCCTTCCCCCGGAGCCGAGACGCACAGGACGCGGGGAAACCGGGGCTCCGAGCCGGGCGCCCTCCGGACCCCCGAGGCCCGCGGCGCAATCAGTGCCCGGCGGGCAGCGTCCGCACCTGAGGACACACGGCCCGGCGCTCGCCCCGCCCCCGCACGCCGGCGGAGGCTGCAGCGGCCGGGCGGGAACCCGGAGTCCGAGGCGCCCGGCCTCCCCGCCCCCCGAGCCGCCGGGGGCGGAGCAAGGGCGGGGAGTTCGGGAAACTTGTAAATAGAAAAGCGCCGCCGCCTCGGCCCCCCTTGGCCCGCAGCCTCCCCTTCCAGACGGGCCCAGCCTGCGCCTCGCAACTGGAGACAAAGGGCAGGCGGCGACCCGGCGGGGGGGGGGTGCGCCCCGAGACACTCGCAGGTCGCGCGCGGCCGTACCCCGGAACGCAGGCCCGGGCGGCCCGGCCGCGCCGGCTCGGCTCCGCCCCGCCCGGCAGGTGGGCGGGCTCCGCTGGCCGCCTGGCGCGCTCGGCTCGCGCTCCCGCGTCCCCCGCCCGGAGCCCCGCACGCTCCCGGGCCGCGGGCGTCTGCCCAGGACCGCGCTGCACCTGTTGCCGCGTGAGACGCGCCGCCGCGGGCTGCTGGCCCCGCACCTGGCTGAACCGCGCGTCCCCAGACCGCGCAGGTCCCCGCGGGCGCCTGGAGCTGCGCCTACTCCCGCCTACGGCCTCCGGGTTGTCCGCGCGAGCTCGCCGGCTTCCAGCCGCGGGGCATTGCAGCGAGGGCGGGCCGGGGGCGGGGGGGCGGGTAGGTTGCAGCAGGGTCAAGGCCAAGGGTAGCTAGGAGCCGGCCCTGATGGTCTCCACGGAGCGTCCGGCTCCTGGTCTGCTAACTTCGTACTTCTAAGAGGTTGACTGGCAAACACCTATTAGAGGTTAAAGAAATGGGCTCCAGCTGTTACATCTTGGACTAAAAAGTGGAAAGAATACAACACCGGGGAGATAAACGAAGCCCGACCCACTTTGCTCTCAACACAAATGAAGTCCTTATTTGCTAAACTGAACGAAATTCATCCATAGCTGTCTATTAGGTTCATAAAATACTTTCTTCGACTGGCATATTTTCTTAATTTTTTTAATGTTCTATTTCTGAGAAAGAGACTGTGAGCAGGGGAGGGTCAGAGAGAGAGGGAGGTACAGAATCTGAAACAGGCTCCAGGCTCTGAGCTTCCAGGCTCTGTGCTGACAGCCAGCTCAGAGCCAGACCTGGGGCTCGAACCCACGAACCGTGAAATCATGACCTGAGCCGAAGTCGGATGCTTAACTGACTGAGCCACCCAGGGGGTCCCTCAACTGGCATATTTTTAACTGTTAAGTGTCAGGCAACCTGAGACCAAAATCTTAAGTATCTTTTTTTAAGTATATCTATTTTGAGAGAGAGAGAGAGAGAGAGAGAGAGAGAGAGAGAGAGAATCCCAAGCAGGCTCTGTGCTGTCAGTGTGGAGCCCTAAACAGGGCTCAATTTCATTAACCCTCAGATCGTAACCTGAGCTGAAACTAAGAGTGGGTCGCTTAACTGAGCCACCTAGGCTCAGGAGACCAAAATTAAAATAATAATAATAACTGGTTTTGACTTGCTAAAAGCTTTTTGAGAGAAATAAGGCTCTTCAGAGAATCTGAGGATACTGTATTTGACTAAGTTTTCGATACTGTCATCATTAGATCATCTAATACATATATTGTCATTGATAGTTGCAAAGGCTTTTCATATGTACAGTGTCCCAATATTTCCTCAACAAGACCCAGAGCAAATAGGTCAGATTATTATCTCCATTTTTCAGTTGAAGAAATGGAAGCTCAGAAAGGTCAAGTGACTTACTGAGGTCACAGAGCTAGTGAGAGGTCAGTGCAAAGGCATCTGGCCTTAGTCATGATCTAGTCTTTGTATTCTATTGTGACAACTCTGGCTTGCTTTTGAAGTATGAATTGCAAGGACAGACATGTAACATATTTAGGACTTTAGGAAAAGGCATAGGAGACACAGCATTAAACACCAATGAATGATCCTCCCTTATACAAAAGCACTAAAACCAAAAAACAAAGACAAACCCACTGACATAGTTACTGCAAGTCAGGAGGCAATTATGCTAATTAGCAACATGCCTCCTTCCTTAACAGAATAGTCTTAGTGTTAAACATATCATTTAATCTTTATAACCCTCATGTGACCCGGGTGATTTGGTCCAACACTCCCTAGTTCTATTGTGTGACTTAGTTATACCTATAAATATAGAACCTGTTTTACTTCATTTTTCTGGGAGATAAATTGCAGGAAAGGAAAGGGGGGTAAAAAACTCCCTCTCTTAAGTAATTAGAAGCAACTTTTGTGGTCCTTGGGGAATCTGAATCTTAGCTTCTAATTGCACACACATAAAAACAGAAGTTACCTTCTAGGGACATTATCAGGGACTCTGTCATGGCAAATATGCTTGAAATGGGGCCTGTTGCCTTCTTGGTTCTGGGCATGTTGCCATGTTCTTGATCTCTGAACTCCAGTGTTAACCTGCTACAGACTCCAGGAACCTATTAGGGGTCAGATAATAACTCCACATTACTTAGGGGTTCTTTGTCCTTAAAAAAAAAAGTTAGCATAAATGTTTTCTCCATTAAAAATGCAAATTAAAACTACATTCACAAAACGCTTTTTCATTTATCAGAACTGCAAAGATTAGAAAGTTTGATAACCACTGTGTGTTGGCAAAAGAATGGAGAAACAGGCAGTCACGGTGCTGATGTGCATGTGAATTAGAATGACCTCCTTTGAGAGCAATTCACACTACCTAACAAAGCTGCAAGTGCACATATCCTTTGAGTCGGTAAGAATTAAACCTCAGAATTCATCTCACAACACACAGGAAATGATAGGTGTGTATAAGCTTGTCCATTTGCACATTGTTTATAATAACAAAAGATTGAAAAAAGTACAAATGTTCAGTAATAAAGTACTGGTAAGCCATGAAACAGCCATAAATGACATCCTAGGAAGCCTTAAGAAAAGAATGAGGGGAAATAAAACTAAAATAATATTTTAATTTAAATAAATATATGGGGCACCTGAGAGGCTCAGTCGGTAAAACGTCTGTCTGTCTGACTTCGGCTCAGGTCATGATCTCACGGTTCCTGAGTTCGAGCCCCACGTCAGGCTCTGTGCTGACAGCTCAAAGTCTGGAGCCTGCTTCTGATTTTGTGTCTCCCTCTTTTTCTGCCCCTCCCCTGCTCTCACCCTGTCTGTCTGTCTGTCTCTCTCTCTAAAAAATAAATAAACATTAAAAAAATTAAAAGAAGTAAACAAATGTGTTACATGGCAATGTTGATAAGCACTGCTCTATGTTCTAATAATTTAAAAACTTTTCAAAAAAGTAAATGCTCTTTGTACTTTTTTGAAATGTTATCCAAGATACATTATGTGCTCAATTTTTTAAAAAATCCAAAACTATTGTAGTATGCTACATTTTCTATTAAAAGAGAGGATTAGGGGCACCTGGGGGGCTCAGTCAGTTGAGTGTCCAACTCTTGACCTTGGCTCAGGTCATGATCCCAGCTTCATGGCATCAAGCTTCAAGTCAGGTTGTGCACTAGCTGTAGAGCCTGCTTGGGATTCTCTCTCTTTTCTCCTCTCTCCCTCTCCCCCACTCACCCACTCTTTCTCTCTCTAAAACAAATTTTAAAAATTATGAAAAAGGGGAGAATTATACACTCTTGTATGTAAGCATATATACATGAATTTGTATAAGCATAAAATATTTCTGAAACGGTATGTCAGATACTGATAATATCAATATTATCATCTTGGGAAGGGAGATGGGCAGCTGGAGGCCAGGATTTGAAGAGAAACTTTTCACTAGATATAATTTTGTATTTTTCGGATTTTGAACCAGGTAAATAATGGTACCCATTCCAATATTAAAAACTTTTCACTGCTTGAGGCTTTGACATCAAGAATGACTAAAATTCTCTCCCTAGTAATTTCACTTACAGGTAAAATAAATTGTCAGACATCTCATGCATTGATGGGGCAGGGGAGAAGAATGCCTAATTGATGCTTTCAAACTATTCTCTAGTGTATCTAAAAAGGAAGTATTCGGTACATAAAAGTCTAACATGCTGTGATTATCATGACATGATGACTAAGCAAATTCCTTAGAGTTTTATTAACATTGGCATCTCCCTGGAGTAGAGTTTTCAGCTAATTTTCCCAAAATTGCATTCAATCAGAAATGAAAAAAGAATTCCAGGCACAATTCCCAAAGGGGAAACTCCTGTGCATTGATTTCACCGGCAAGGAAGTAATTCTGTGGGAATTTCATGGAGTCATCTTATTCTCAAACTTGATAACTTTTTAAAAAGTCATTACTTAGTTATATTTACTTATATCCCCACTACATTGAATGAAGGGTTTGAATAACTCTAAAAGGTAGGCACAGTAAATATAAAAAAAATAAATAAATGTTTAGAAGTATAAAATAGGATCCAAGGAAAAACATACAGGTAAGAGTAAGCATACCATTGAGTTACCAAATTAAATCACTGAGCTTCCTGGTAGCCAAGTTCCCCAACCAGTTACATAATTGCTGTTTTCAGTAGGGGCTGAGAGTTCTTCAAGGGAAGCAAAGCTCTTCCTAGCACTAATTCAAAGAGAAAAATTTTCACTCCTGTTTCAGATCAAGGCTTCCAGAATGGGGGGCACCTGGGGGCATCAGTCGGCTAAGCATCCGACTTTGGCTCAGGGCATGATCTCGCGGTTCTTGGGTTCGAGCCCCGCCTCGGCCTCTGTGCTGACAGCCAGCTCAGAATCTAGAGGCTGTTTCAGATTCTGTGCCTCCCTCTCTCTCTGACCTTCCCCTGCTCTCTCTCTCTCTCTCTCTGTCTCTCTCTCTCTCTCTCTCTCAGAAATAAATAAAACATTTTAAAAAAGACTTCAAGAATGGAAAACAACTATATATATAATAGGCTAAGAAACGTGGTTTCTTTTTCACAGTGGCTTTGAATAAAACCAAAGTATTATCATAAAACTCATCTCAAGATTATTTACTCAGTCAAGGACTAGGCCAATGTCAACCAAGGCTTGTAATAGCAAGGAGTGTACATGTACAGCAGTTCTTTCATATATCCTTTTGAAAGTCAAATATGCTCATGGTAAAATTCTAAAATGCCCACAAATCCTTTGCCTCACAGTAAAACACAGTTGCTTTATATAACATTCCAGAAATGTTCTAATTAGTCAACCATTTGATAGGTGCTGAAGAACTGTAGAAGTGACAAAGGCCCAGAATACCGGAATTTTGTGACACTGTGGATGACCTTTTTCCTATTTCTGTTGAGAGAAAACATATATTGCAAATAGCCACATGATGTTT